GATCAAAATGAGCCTTTTTATATCATCATAAGTTTTCCCGTTACTGCAGTGATCTCAGTATCCAAACTGACAGCTACAGTATAATGGATATAAGGCATAAAATGTTTTTTCATATCTGCTCTTCCAGGCTTCTATAGCCCTTAAGCTTTTGTGGGCATGAATTAATGTGAATAGTAATTCACACAAACACACATATCTATATATATCTTTTCAGGCACTGCCACTGCCTGCGTGCTGCATTAGGGTCTGCTTTTTTCATATGGAAAAATCATTAGGAAAAAAAGTATTTATTATAGCTATGCATCCATGTATTAAAGTTGTCCATGTGCTTGTGCAGATGGATACCAGCTTTAAGGGGTGCATTTGTATGCCCAGAACTGCTCATACACTCATAAAAAGCTCAACCAAAACCACAGGGTGAAGCAGAGGCTCCCTCTGCCACATTCTCAGGGCAGCAAACCCTATCTGCTGTTCTGCACCTTGGAATATGCTGTGTGCACTACTTGGCACTTGCTATTTCTAATGTTTAGTTTTTTCCTATATTCCCCACTGAGATATTACTACATTTGAGTACTGCTGATCCTCTCATAGTTGAATAGATTCTGGCTTCCATGGTTGCTTCTCCCTTTGTTCTACCACCCACTTCCATAAACTAAAATTAATCATGGTAGACTACAGTGGTAGATGTGAGAGTGCATCATATCTTCAGCAGACATGGAGTCAGGGTACTGTTGCATTTAGGAAAATAACTGGTCTTGGCACAAAATGTGGGGTTTTGAATGGTGCATTAAGCTGAATTAGTTTGAAAACATGGTGGTGGTCTATGATTGAGAGAGTTGGAAATAATTTTTATGTAGTGCTGATTTTCAAATGACTGGGTTACTTCAAATGAACACAGTTGTGAGCTAGTAATGGGAATTACTGTATTGTCCCTGTTCTTCACGAGAGAAACTGTAATGCCCAGGAACAGCCACAGGCACTGATCTCTCTGTACTGACTGCATGGGCCATGAGTGAAAACTTAACAAGCACTTTGTTAAATGACAAAGGTTAAATGGGCTGACTCAGATCCTACAGCCAGACTGTGTTTACCCAGGTTACATGTCAAGATCAGTGCTGGGGCAGGTGTCTTCCCAGGAGGGTGACATCCCAGAGTTTGCAAAAGCTGTGACAAAAGCCATAGCCTAAACTCTCTGGTTGGCTGTGTTTCTGCAGTGGGTGTGCTCATACACACCCATGGGGACAGCTGGCCACCTTACAGGTGTCCATGTTCCCATGCTGTGGTGTTCACATCCCCAGGGTGGGCTAAAGCAAGCCTTGAAAGAGGTGAACACAACTTGGCTCATTCTTGTGCTTTGTAAGGATGCTAATGGTTAGGCTAGGAGTAATCCAAAATCAGATAAAATGGGACTAAAACAGAAATAATTTTACAAATATGTACCATCCTTCCTTTAGAGGTTGACAGTTGCCTCACTGAATTACAATTGTTTACCTGGCAGCTTGTTTATGTGCCTAATTACTTTGATTTCCTTATACAGCTCTTTAATCTGTTCTCCTTTACAAACAAAAGGAGAGATATTGGTCCTGAGCCAGCCTGCAAAATGAGAGCAAATGCTAACAGTGACTTGCTTATTACCAATCACTTGCTTTTCAGTGCTTTAATGGTGTCATTTAGTAAGACCATTAATATGACAAACAGCTTCCCATTTAATTGTTTTTCTTTCATGGGTGTCCACTTTGAGAAGTGAGACCTTTCACTGGCATAAGTTACCTGGCACAAGGTAGTGTGTCAGCGGCTTACTTTGTCATCTGCAGCCAGGTTTCACCGGTGGCAGAGCATCACCCCTTCCTGCCCAGGAGAGTCTGGAAGAATTTTGCACAGATCGTGCCTACAAGCTGTTTGATGTTTCATGTTTTTCAGGGCTTACATCCTCTTAGATTTATCAAATGTAGTGACTGGTGGCAGTGCAGCATGGTTATTAGAGCAGGACATAATGTAAGAACAATAAAAGCTAAAATGGGCAAGTTCTTCCCTGCCAAAATGTTGTAGGAAAGCCAGTGGTGCCTGTAACGAAGGTGACTTTCTGCAGGGCTTAATGGAGCCTGTACACTCAGTGCTTCTCCCAGTGAAGAGTTACATTTCTGGGAAAGAGGCAATGAGAATGTTTTCTCTCCTCATTCCCCAAATTTCTGAGGACAGGCAAAGGAATTCATCTTTTTCTTTCCTTATTTGCTTGCTTCAGACACTGAGGCCCAGCTGGTTGCTGGTAGCACCTGCATGTTCCTTCCCATGTCACATAAAGGGACAGTGGTTCAGCTTTGTGGCTTGGGCTGACCAGCTCTGAGGGCATCCTGGGTTTCCAAGGCTCAAAGACTTGGTACCTCTTGGACAAGAATTCAGACTCTGCTCTGTGCTGCTGGTAAATGCTTCCTGTGACATAGTGGATATAACATACTGTGAACTTTTGCTTTTCTTTTGATGTCTCTGCCCTGAGGACTCAGTTATTGTTGACTTAGAATGTATGAAAATGCTATTTCTAAATGTAAACACCACACACTGAAAAGCCTTATGCAGAGGGTTCATTGCAGAGTTAATCATAGTTAGAGGTCAGCTGCCTTATCTAAGAAGGGAGAAGTTGGAGGAAAGCTTGAAACAGGAGAGAGGTTTGAAGAAAATTAATAGTGATTTATTTCTTTATTTATTCCTTGTAAGAAAGCCATTTTCTTGTTCTAAGTATCTTACAGACTACACAATACAGACATAGGTCATGGAAGGTGCAGAGTTCAGCCTGTGCCTTCAGCTCCACAGACCCAGCCTTACCTCTGCAGGGAGGATATTTTGATAGTCAGAAGGATTGCTCCTCACTCCTCTTCCTCTGGTTAGAGGATCTGCTGCCTTTTCCACCGCTGTGGATTATTTGACATGTATTTCTCCTTTCCCATAAGATGGATTTTATTAAGTTCTTGGGAATTTGAGATATTTTCTATTCCTTCAGTCATTCTGCTCTTACCCTTTTTCAGAAGTGACATGTTTGTATTTCTTGGAGGAAGTTCCTTGAAAAACATTTCAGAGAAATAAAAGAATAAAGCTTTAATTTCTCAAATAGCAGATAAACTGGCAGAATATACCATAAACTCTCTCTCCTAGTTAGATGCCCTAAGTATTTGCAAGGTTTCTGTCAGTGAAGGATGTGTGTGAAGATTATGGTGTACTAGATTTCGGACAAAAGAGTTTTTTATATTTTTTTATGTTATATTTGGTTCATATTTTCATAAACATTTTACCCACTAGTCTTGCATTGCTCAATCTTTCAGTGGCAGTAAAGTGTAACTTCCGGGAAATTCAGTCATCTGAATTCATCTTCTACAAAGCAGTGCCTGTTTTGTCTGATAATATTGCCCCAAGACTTCCCAGCACCACAGAGGACACAGTGTGGGAAGACAAAAGACTTCATCTTCATTACAGCACTGCATAATACATAAAACAGCTCATCAATAATGGAAGGGACCCACCACAGGACACAATGCCCACTTGCAGCCAGCTGGTTCCAAAACTGCTGAGGTAAAGAGATCCATGCTCTGTGCAAGGTGCTTTGCATGCTGCACTGTGGACTCATTTCTCACACTATCAGGTGTGTTGGTGCAGATTATAAAGCCCTAAAATGGTGTATTCTGTGCACATTTGACTTTTCAGAGTGCTAATAACATTTAAAGATGTGTCTAACTTCAGATGGCATAGGCATTGCAGAACCATTAGCATGCATTCTGCTGCAGGTCTTTGAACCAAGTCATTCCAGACCTTGTTCCTATTTATAATTTAGGAATAGAGATCTTGTAAACAGCAAACTTTTGGACTCACTAGTGCAAATATGATCCATGTGGTCAGACACCTAGGGCTAGCCAAAATAGCAACCTGCAGGCAATGGTTAATTGGGTGCATGTGAAAAATACAAAAAAAAAAAATTCTGCTTCTTTAGAAAACAAAAAGTTTCCCAGGGGAATAAACGTGTTCTGACTGACAGCTTTCAAAAACACCAGAGAAAGGCCTAGAGAAATAAACTTCACAATGTTTCCAGACTCATGCCTACACCAGTTTCAGTATCAGCTTTAGTCACTCGAATGTTCTGCAGATAGGGGGCTTTCTGATCTAAATTGCTGTGCTTTGGAAGTCAATGAAGAGGGAGGGAAAACTCAAATATGATGAGCTTTTTCCTTTCATCTGCTACATTGCTTTATCACAGAAACTGTTCCAGAAAAGTCCACATGACATACAGAATCTTTTAGTATATTGCTCACTATAGAAATAAATTCCTTCCTTTGCCAGTTGGACAGAGATGAACTGTTACCCAGCAAACTAGGTAGGAATTTATTTTCCCAAAGCAACCAGTGAAAGGCACATCCCAGGCAGTGCCCCACTGTGTTCAACAGGTCTCTGCCCAACCCTGTGAGGGCAGGAGTCACTTGTGACCCCAGCTGTAAAATATCAGCTCAGCCACGGGACCACTCACTGTGTTTAATTCCCAAAACTTCCTCTTCCTATGCTGAGGGAGATAGATGACAGTCCTCCCACAAGCCCTCTACCCATCTTTCCAAAATAACCAAACTTCTCCTAGAATAACAGACACCTGTTTGCAGGCTTCCCCTGCCTGCCAAACTGCTCAGGTGTTGCAGCAGACCTCTCTTTAGGGTGTAGAAATGAGCCAAAACACAGATTGTCATTCAACAACATGAAAAGGGTGTCAATTTATTCTTCTGTACAGCTTTACCATCCTGACTCTGCTACAGCAAGCTCCCACTGTAGGGTCCCACTGCAGACTCTGAACACAGGCTTTACCTAGCTCGACTATGACTGCAGGCTCTGACTACATCAGACCCAGACTAACCTCATAGCAGATCTTTTACAGCAGCAACTCTCTCCCTTGTTTCAGTCTTCTTTGCCAGAGCTCCTCTAGTCGTCTTCTTCAAGGTCCTCCCTGACCAGCCAACCCACCCCTTTTATCACACTTACCTTTATTAGTCACACCTGTGACCCATTAAGGGCAAGGCTATTCCTCTTCTTTGGTAATTAATACAACTGAGACTTATCAGGGGCAAGGTTGCCTGTAATCTCTTCTTCTACACCTACACTCAGGTGCCCTCTTCTCAGGTTAACCTGGGCTTCCTAATTGGATATATGACATTTCACAGAATCAGAGAATATTCTGAGTTGGAAAGGGCTCACAAAGATCATCGAGTGCAACTCTGAAGTGAATTGCCCATACAGGGATTAAACCCACAACACTTGCAATATTAGCATTAGGCTCTAACCAACTTCTAGGAACCTGGGTACACTTTACAATAAGAGAAACGTGTTTAAAACCAGAACGGGAAGAAGTGTGCCCAGCCAGGAGAAGCACTGAGTAAAACTGGTTAATCTTCTGTATTAGCTTGGCTCCAGCTGACTGGAGCACATGAGGTGAATTGATTCATTTGTGAATAGATAAACTGGGATTACAGACTCCTTTCGGTGCTAGAACTGTAAATATCATTGCTGTTATTCATCTGTCAAGAAGTATCAAACCGTTATTTAATTATTCTGCTCTGTAGAAGTAGGCATTTTTTCAATTCAGTTTTTCAGTCCCCTAGATGGTAGGGATCCACAGCAGGAAGTTTTCCAGGGCACTGAAGTGCTCTCACAGTGGTATGCAAATAAAAACCCATGACATGTTGCTTGTGTGCATCTCAGCCACTTTCCTGCAGGACTCCATTGTATCCCTGCTCTGAGCAGCAGCAGTGCCAGAGCTGCTGTCCAACGCCTGGAACAACTAAAGGTGCCTCTGTTCTCTGAAGAGCATTATAAACCTTAAAGCTCTTTAGTCTCTTGCTGATGCTTTTTGCTGTGCTGAACTCTTCTGCACTAAATCAAAACCACTTCAGGAAGGAAACTGTGTGTGGGAGAAAAATTGTTGAGAGATTCTTAAGAAAGACTTGCACATATTGTCTTGTGCAAGATTCCCTTGCACCATTGCCTTCAAACACTTGTTTTTCTGAGTGTGGTGCAAACTGGAGAAGTTTCCAGAGCTCAGTGGTAGAAGATTCAGTGTGGCTTTTTCACTAGAGTATGGTCAGTGGCAGAAAAATATATTAGCTTAGGAAAAAAATCAATTATCAAAATTTCACAAGTCCAGTAATTTATGTGCAAGCAGTATAGGCCAGATTTTGGCCAGTTTTCATTTGGAGACCATTTACAGAATGGCTTGGATTGGAAGGGACCTGAAAGATCACCTAATTCCAGTCCCCTGCCATGGGCAGGGACAATTTCCACTAGATCAAGTTGCTCAAAGCCCCATCCAGCCTGGCCTTGGTTGCTTCCTTTTATTTAATAGACTTTCTGTTTTCTCAGCTGAGAGCCAGACTCTGCAATAGTTTGTCTCTGCATAGTAACTCATCTACTCCCCTAGCTGTGATCTCACTCCTTGCAAGTACAATTGTGTGACCACGATCTTCCTGTTAATGGGAGTAGAATTATAAGCATCTGTAGCACTGGCTTTTGTACCTGAGCTGGGATGTCTGTGTGGTCAAGAAACAGTAACAGATGCTCTTGGTACAGTCGGTTATGTATTAGGTGTCCCTAAAAGCAAAATTCATCCCATTTTCCTTTTCTTTTTCATCACTGACTGTGAAGGATTGATGCTAAGAGCCCTTTTTTGGTCCCTGACAATTTTACTGTGATCATCTTCCAAACTTCATAACTAATGAATTAATGATTTCTAATTATGGTGTAATTAATTAGTAACTACAATGATAATTAAACCTCTAGTTTAACAATAATAAATTAGGGACCTGGAAACTATTGTGCATAAGGTGTATTTTTAGTGATGCTCCGTGGATTTCCTTGGGACAGTTAATGAGAACTCCCAGGAATACATGTGTGTTGTGCATATCCATACATGTGTGCACATGAGCAGTGCACAGGAGATTATCCCTTCCCTGACTGCCTGAGCTCTGCAAACAGATGGGCTTTTTGCATGATTTTTTTTAAATTTATTTTATACCAGAAGTGAATTTAGGAAGATATTTACACATATATAAATTGAAATCAGGAATAAGTTGCTGGGCTAAGAGGATTTTTCACCGATAAAATTGGTAGGGTTTTTTGTTTGTTTGTTTTGTTTTTTTAACTGTTCTGTTATTACGTGCCATGGTTCAGTGTGAAAACAGCACTCACTAAAAAGGTTCCTGGTCAAAGCACAATGTTTAGGACGAGGGAACTGTGCAGGGACAGCCAGGGGAGGTAGGGCAGAGCTCTGGAACCTCTCTGGCAGCTGAGGGGAGGGAAAGTCTGCTTCATTCCAGGCGCCGGGTGAATCGCCATATGCTGCTGCCAGCAAAGCATGCAGAGCAGCTTCTCCTGCTGGCTGGTAATCCCCAGGGAGCTCACACAAAGTCTATTAATGGCCTTCTTAGGTGACTCTCTGTGGTCATCCAGCACCTTATTTTTCACCCAGTCAGGGACTCGAAAGCTCTAGGTTGTGTTGCCTTCCGCAAGCAGAATCTCAGACCCTTGTGGCAACGACTCGTGATTTCTCCAATTAATTCTAATGAAGCAATACAGCTGAAAATGGGATTCATTTAGCTGAACTTCATTCATTTAAGTGCTAGGCATCGAGTTTACAATCACTGCATTTTCCTTTCCTCTCCACGGGGCGAGGAGAGCTCACCTGGAGGTGACTGTCTGTAGCCCTGTGCTGCTGGCTGGTGGCCCAACAAGCTGCACAGTCGCTGCCACACTGCAGGGAGCAAAGTGTGTGATAGAATGGAGCAGCGTGGGGCCGGGCTGCAGTTCAGGAAGGAAGTAATCTCCTAATGGGTGATTTCAGTCCTCCGAGCGTGCAGCCTTTGCCCTTGTACGTGCTCAGCTGCACAGCTGAGGAGGACACAGCGTGATTCAGGTCCTGATGGTGCCTTTGAAATTCTGCTCCACCTCTACTGACAAAAAAGACAAACCCTGCCAAGCAATCACCGTCAATCAGATTTGCATGGATTGCTTTATCTGTTGGTCATGATTAGTATTCTGGAGATCTCTGTAGAAAACATGAATTTTAATTCTGCTTCCTCCAGTGCTGGTTTCCAGGGACTCCCTCTGGTGGTTCAGGAGCTGTGTGAACATCAGCTGTGCCATACAGCACGCTGGGAGAGGTGAACTGAAGAGTATCTTGGCTTTTTTCACACCTTTAAAAATAAACTTGAGGTCAAAGTCACTGAGGTTATCACCTCTTGTGACTGCTTAGACTTGCTAAGTGTGCATTGCTCGTTCTTGTAAAGAAGTGATGCTTTTCCTGCAGCATGGCAGGCTGAGGAGCACAACTGCAGGTACCTGTGTGCTGGTCTGGTCCTTTGCAGACCGGAGCAGGAACACGTTCAGAAGGTTGAATGTTGTCAGAAATCCATCTGAATATGGATTGTCCTGAAATTTAATGGATATCCCTTCTAAGGCATTTTAGATTATGGAGTATTTGTGTTTTCTTTTTTTGGCTTACCATTGGCATCCACAATAGAAATGACTCTGCACATTTAAATCTGGGTCCCCAGGTTCCCCTGCATCATTTACAAATACATACATTGCAGTTTCACTCCTCAAGATGCTTTGCCAGCAGATCTTACAGGATTCTTGCTAAATGCAAAAGAAAACAGTTTGAATCAGCAAAACATCAGGGCTAACTGAACTTGGACAAAAAGAAAAAGCCTTTCAGTGTCCTCTGGAGCCTGCCAAAGCACTAAGTGCTGGTGATGACTAACAAGGGTGGCACATCTAATGCAAAAGCTGGCAAGAGTTACCATGCACAGTGCAGCAGGAGGGGCACCCTTGATCAGGGATGGAGAGGTGGAGGGATGCAGGGAGCCAAAGGCTCTGGAGATGCGTGGCCCAAGTGTGTGAACAAGTTCCTGTATCTGCAGTGGAGGCAGAAGGTACCAAGAGAAAGCTTGGTCCTGGCAGAGTCAGCAGGAAAACTCCTGACTCAGATAAATGAGTAATTTATCCATAGTTTGTGGAAGGAAGAGGGATTTGAAAAGTGTAACTAAAGTGAGGATCCAAAGGGAAGTCTGCCTTATGCTTCCTGCTGATTGTTTTATTTCTCATCTTTCTGATTACTCTAAATATGATATTTCAACTATACTCTAAATATTAGGTTTGTCTCTTCAGATGAGCTGGCATTTGATTCCTTTTTTTCAGTCTGTGCTGTAACATTCCTAGGAGCACAGAGTAACTGTGGAGGTTTTCTATTGTTAATGCAATGATTTTCTTACATGAGATGAGATTGCTCTGGGTGGCTTTACATTATCTCATCAGCCTGTGAGTGCACCCCCAAATCACCTCTTCTTGCTTATCAGAGTTTACTGATGTGTCCAGAAATTGCCCAACAAGGGTCACGCTGTATATACTTCTTGTCTTACATCACATTATATTGCAGCCAGACCTTTCAGCACCACCAGTATTTTTAAATAATGTTTTCCCTGACGCTGCAAATGGTGCAGAACATTGTAGAGGCAGCCAGCCACCAAGCTGAGCTGTTGAGCTGGGGGCAGGAGCTTTGGGCAGCGAGCTGTAACACACAGGGAAACTGTTTTTGCAGGGGTATAGTGAGAAACCACTGCAAACCCTCAGTGAGCAGAGCTGTGTCCTTGGTCGTGCTGTAAAGGTCAGCGTGCTGGGTGCTGAGCTGCAGGAGCTGCACCAGGTCTGCTCTGCAGGCAGCCTTCCTCACACATCTCACTGCCATGGCTCACACTCACTCTGGTGTCTCTGCCCCTTCCAAAGTGAAATTACACATCAGGCTTTTACACAAACTGGGCTTTTCTTCTGGAGCACTCTTAAAGTGCCTCGAGCCTGGGGAGCTCACTGAGACATCCACACCAAGGGTTTTCAAGGTTCTTGTAATGAAAACCAAATTGTTTTTTTTCCCCAGAAATGTGTTACTTTCAGTTATAATTTTTATATTATGATATTATGTTATAATATAGATATTATTATTATATTATTATATTATATTAAATTATTATATTATATTAAATTATTATATTATATTGTTATTCTATTCTATTATTATTATTATATTGTATTTTGATTTTACTAAAATCAAAATTGAACTTTCAACCTTCCTGAGAAGATGAAGTATGTACCTTTCATTCTGAAATTACATTTTGCTTCACTTTCTGTTTTCAAATGCACGTCGTGTAAATTACCATATTTGGTTATTGTGAAGGCAATGACAAAACCCCAGCTTTCTGATTCAAAATAAAGAGAAATTCAAGGTAAACATTCTCTTGTGTTTCCATTTTGAAGCTCAAATTCATGGCATATTACAAAACTGTAAAAATATCTGTTTTATTTTTAAAGATGAGAGGAAATGTGATATTTTAAAAGAAAAATAATATATTTTAATGAGAATCAAACCTCCATACATTTCTGTGTAAAATCAAACCTTGTCTTTAAACTAGATTTTCAAATTAAACCACAGAATTCTACCA